GATTGGAAAGGAAAAATGCTACGCCTGCTACCAAACTCCCAAAACCGGGACCCGATAGCTGCCCCAAAGAAAAGTGTTATGTTTGTGGTCACCGGAAACACATTGTTGAATGCATGGAAGGAGTCTTCTCATATAATGGTTCTAATTCTGAAGGAGCAGGGGGCTCGGGAACTTCACTCAGTCGTTCCTGAGGAAGTAAAATCCATGCTTCAATACTTCTCGGATATCTGCCAACTAAACTTTCCGGCGGAATTGCCCCCACTCCGAACCATCCAACTTCATATTGACCTTACACCTGGCGCCTCCTTACTGAACATCCCTCATTACAAAATGAGTCCAACGGAACATAAGATCCCGCAGTAGTTGGTAGATGACTTGTTAGACAAACAGCTCATTCAACACAGCTTAAGCCCGTGCGTTGTACCTGTTTTATTGGTTCCAAAGAAGGACGGAAGCTGGAGGATGTGCATCGACAGCCGAGCTATTAACAAGATCACTGTAAAATTTAGATTTACCATGCCGAGAATGGAGGAAATGTTGGAAAGGCTGTCCGGGTCACAGATTTTCTCTAAGTTGGACCTTTGCATTGGCTATCATCAGATTAGAATGAAAATAGCGTTTAAGACGAGTGAAGGTTTATATAAATGGCGAGTAATGCATTTTGGGTTGTGCAATGCCCCATCGACATTTATGTGCATGATGAACGAGATTCCGAAACCATCCTTAATCGGTGTTATGTAGCATATTTTGACAACATACTAGTCTTCAGTCCTAATTTGGGTGAGCATCTGCAACACCTTAAGGATATCATGGAGACATTAAGGTAGAACAAGCTCTCTCTGAACATCAACAAATGCGAATTTTCTAGTCCCAGTGTATCATTCCTCGGGTTTAGAATCTCGGCGGATGGTGTCAGTGCGGATCCAAGGAAAGTGAATTCAATTGTAGAATGGCTAACTCCGAGATCATTTTCTGATATCAAAAGTTTCCACGGACTAGCTAACTTCTATAGACGATTCATTCGTGGATTCAACATCATCACGACGCCGATGACTGATGTTCTCAAGCATAAAATATTCACTTGGGGAGCTGACCAACAGAAGAGCTTTGAAGCCATTAAGAGAGCTTTATCCTCAGCTCCCGTACTGGCCTTACTCGACTTTGATAAGCCGTTTGCGGTTATTGACGTGTCAACTGTGGGAATAGGAGCTGTGTTGGCTCAGGAAAATAAGCCGATAGAGTTCTTTAGTGAGAAACTCTGTCCTTCTAGGCAACGGTGGTTGGTCTACGAACAAGAGTTGTGTGCTGTGATACGGGCTCTGAAATAGTGGGAACATTACCTGCTACACTAGAACTTCATTCTTTGCAGCGATTATAAGGCTCTCCAATACATAAATGCTTAAAAGAACATCAATAGAATGCATGCTAGGTGGATTCTATTTTTGCAAAAGTTCACATTCGTGTTGAAACACAAGAGCGGGGCTCAAAATAGGGTCACTGATTCATTAAGTCGACGTTCTGCTCTCATCACTCAGCTGCAATCCAAATTTGCAGGTCTTGAATGCCTTAAAGAGATGTACCTGGAAGATGTGGAGTTCGCGGAAGTGTGGAGGAAATGCAACAATAAAGACCCGGTAGAAGACTATTCCCTAAGGCATGGCTTTCGTTTTAAAGGCAACTTGTTATGCATACCAAACTCGTCCTGACTACAATTACTAATCCAAGAGGTGCACGGTGGTGGGCTATCGGCTCATGCCGAGCTAAACAATACAATCAGTCAAATGCTAACTAAGTTCTATTGGCCTCATTTGAGAAGGGATGTTACCAAATTTGTGGAAAGGTGCTCGATTTGCCAAAACTATAAAGGAGGAGGTCAAAACACCAGCCTATACCAGGCACTTCCAGTTCCGTAGTCTTTTGGGAAGATCTTAGTTTAGATTTCGTACATGGTCTACCGCGAACAAGACACGGGAACGACTCGATCATGGTGGTTGTGGACAGATTTTTTAAAATGACACATTTTATTGCATGCAAAAAGACTTTCGATGCTTTCAATATCGCCAAATTATTTTTTCGAGAAGTTCGTTTACATGGGGTGCCCTGAAGCCTCACTTCTAATCGTGAGGTGAAGTTCATTAGCCACTTCTGGCGGGAGCTGTGGAAGAGACTAAGCACAAAACTTCAGTTGAGTTCCTAGTACCACCCGCAGACTAACGGCCAAATTGAGGTTGTCAACCGAACTTTGGGAAATTTACTTCGATGTTTGGTGCAAGAGCATCCAGGATTATGGGATGAAGTACTCGGACAGACAGAGTTTGCATTTAACTCCATGCCTAACCGTTCCACTGGTATGTGTCCATTTAGCATTGTCTATACTAAAATGCCCAATACTGTCGTTGATATTGCAGTCCTCCCAAATTGCAAAAGCAAAGCGGCATCCACGTGGTTATATCAGTTCTCTGATTTGCTGTCCAAGGTCCGACAGAAGCTACAAGACTCTAATGCTAAATATAAAGCAATGGCGGATGAACATAGGCCGAAAAAGCTGTTCCAACCAGGAGACTTGGTCATAGTTCGTATGAGTAAAGAACGGTTTCCTACCGGTGCATACTCAAAACTAAGCCGGAGAAAATTCGGCCCATTCCCAGTGACCATTGTATCAATGAGAATGGCTACGTCATTGAGTTGCCACCTGAATTTAATACTCCAAACACCTTCAATGTGGCGGTATCTATCCCTACATGCCTCCAAATGACGGCACCATCAGCATTGAAGAACTTCACAAGAGTTCTTTTTGTGGAAGGAGCGAATGATGCGGAGCATCTGCTTCATATCATGGACCGAGAGTTATTACACCATGCACATGTTCTGTTAGTTAGAGCATACTCACACTTAGCTTTACACTCCATTACTTATCTATTTTTAGAAGGTTAGTACAATGGTTACTTTTTTACTTGTTAGCTTACTTTTGACATAGGTTGCTCTTGCGAAGGTTTACATACGGCAAACTCTAGAGGAGAAGGCTTTAGTTTTTATCTCAATACAAAGAAGTTATACTTCCTTAGCACTTGCTTGTTTCCACTGCTGTTTGCCTTTATGTGCAGGATTCTACATCAATATTTATATATCTAACACTTATTCAAAAAAAAAAAAACTATCGAACCTATGTATTTGTGCATGCTATAATCAAACCATTGAAGGAAAAAAGATAGATCGGGATTTTACTGTCAATTTTAATATTTGAGTGAAATTTGAGAAATTAAGGTAGGGTGGTGGTTTTGTAAGTAGGCATGATTTGGATTTTACAAATGAAATTTTTTTCTTTCCATAAACTTGAACAATTTATTTTCACTGCTTTGACTTTTGTGTGAACGTTTTGTCAAAATCTTAGTCATCCCTTGGCATTTGATCCCACGGTCAGGATGAGAATCCGTGGGAGGCTAACCTGGATCACGCCAATATCCTTCTATATTTGGGTAGTTAAATTAGGAAGGATTATATTGAGACAATTATGTATCAATTAGAAGTTATTTATTTCTTTATTAAAACATCTTGTATAGATCTATAAATAGGGATAATTTTGTATAATAAGTAGAAGGTATTTTTACCCTTCTCAAATTCTATGAATTGTAACATGGTATCAGAGCCACGAAGAAGAAACCATTGGGATAAAGGCGGAAGAATCAAAACCTACATGTGTGCGGGAAGGACCAAAGCCGAGCAAACCTCCTACTAGCGGGACGAGGCTGAGCTCCTACGTGCGGGACGAAGACGAACAAAACCCATGGGACGGGCCGAGCGAAACCCACGGGACCGGCCGAGCAAACCTCTACGTACGCGTACGAGACAAAGCCGGAGGAAGGAAACGACGGAGCCGATCCAAGCATTGGAACTTTTGATCCGACAGAAGGGAGAAGTCGTCGAAGGAGCGTAAACGAACAACATGACAGGAGCTGAAGAAGCGCCTCCTGTGAAGCACCTTAAGCCGAACGGGAGAGACGTCGAAGGTTGATAGTCGAACAACCAAGAACGAGCCGAAGGAGCGACCGTGAAGCAACGAAGCTGAATGAGACTCCACTGAGAGGAGCCCGCCCCCGTGCCCTAGTCCCGATCCGAGCCTTTTTTTTAAGGCTTGGCTGGTTTGGTTTATTAAACCAGGAAAGAAAAAAAAATTAGTGGAAAAAAAGGAGAGAAAATCTTTATCATCGACCTTTATTGTCGAAAAGGGAAATTTTCTCCGAGAAGCCTTCATTGTTGAATTTCTGAGGAATACAAAGTTCCCACCACCAGCCTTCATTGCTGGAATTTCTGAGGAATACAAAGTTCTTACCACCGGCCTTCATTGCTAGAATTTTGAGAAATACAGGTTCCCACTACCGGCCTTCATTGCTGGAATTATGAGAAATACATATTCCCACTACCGGCCTTTATTGCTGGAATTCTAAGGAATACAAGTTCCCACAACCGGCCTTAATTGTCGGAATTTTGAGAATAGTTTTTCATCATCGGCCTTCATTGCAGGCTTTCTCTTGTGGTTGATATCCTATCTATAACCAATGTAGCTCTACCTTTGAGCGATTAATTGCAAGCTTGTCTCCAGCTTGAGGGGGAGTGTCAAAATCTCAGTCATCCCTTGGCATTTGATCCCACTGTCAGGATGAGAATCCGTGGGAGGCTCACCTGGATCACACCAATATCCTTCTATATTTGGGTAGCTGAATTAGGAATGATTATATTGAGGCAATTATGTATCAATTAGAAGTTATTTATTTCTTTATTAAAACATCTTGTATAGATCTATAAATAGGGATAATTTTGTATAATAAGTAGAAGGTATTTTTATCCTTCTCAAATTCTATGAATTGTAACACTTTTCATTATGCTTGAAAACCCTTTTTGTGTCAATGGTTGCAATGCTGGTTACTGATGCTTTATTTATGTGTAATTAGTGCTAGTTATTGACGCTTTATTTTTTGTTGTAATTGGTGCCTCATACTCAGGATGGATATGCTATGCGGAAAAGACTTTGGGATCTTTTATCCTACCATACATTTGCTCTGTGAAGAGTCCCCAACAAGTAATGGGAACCGTAATCAAACATCACATTTCAAAAAAGTTGGGATACACGTAAGTTTTCAATTTCCTTTCATGTTTCTATATTATCTTTGTATGTAGATAACTAGTATCATTTTACTCGTAAAACTAAGAAGGTTTTGGGATTGTTGAATTCATTTTTACTTGTAAGTTGTAACAAAGATTCCTTTCCCTATCTCTTAAAGTGTTTAAAAAAATTGTTTGCCTTGTGCAAACTATTATTTGACTAAATTTGAAAGTTTCTCGGAATTTAATAGGCCAGACAAAATCTTCCATGTGACCGTGATGCCCTGCTATGATAAAAAGTTAGAGGCTGCTCGAGATGATTTCGTATTTTCAGTGGATCATGAAGAAGAAAATGATGCCGATGATGATGGTTCAGCAATGAAGATACCAGAGGTGGATATAGTTTTGACATCTGGAGAGGTGTTGGATCTGATACAGGTATTGAATCTAATAGACGTAGATACAAGTCTTACAGTTAGTCTATTTTGAAGAGTATACTTCCAATCTTCATCCTAACTTTTCTTTGCTTGCAGTCAAAATTAATTGATTTCAAGGCTCTGGTAGACGTTCCTCTGGATAGATTGTAAGGTTCTCATACTTTCCTTATTGCCAGTTTGGAATATTTACTCTCTGAATTTGTGTTGATTTTTATTGGCCATGAAAACAGTTGATATCTAGAATGACATGTTTTCTGTCTTGCTGCTCATATGATTTTTTCTTATCCTGTTCATATCGTATGCATGGTTGCATTTCTTCCCTCTATTTTATGCCCGTTTTATTGTAAGTTTTGATCAATGTTTCTTTTTTTCTTTTGAGTTATCAAAGTTTCTTTTGATCGGCTGTTTGGGTTGGATTTCGATCTATTTTCAGATTTAAGAAGTACCATATGGCAGATTTTAGGTGTTTTAAATTCTTAAAATCTTTTTATTGTCAGAGCTTCAGGACTGCTTTTTGTCTCAAATTTGGTCCTTCACAGAAAATTTTACTTTTAAAAGTTATTATAATAAATGACAAACACTTTGTTTACATAAACAGAACTTTCACAGCATATTTAAATGCCAACATAATTCTTCTCCGTTTTCTAATGAATATGAGATATATTCAATTGCTATTGCCAGTCAACAGGATGTTAAATTATTTTCTCTAGCTCTTTAATTTTACTTTGTTTTGAAGACTTTATATTTTTAAAAATCTATTCAACTTTTATTAGAATAATATGAAATAAATACGGAAATACCAAATATTATTCCAAACTAGTTCCAGAAACTGTCAATGGTCCAAATCTTCAGAACTTTTAGATAAGAACTCGATTTATTGTTGAAAAGGGATCAATATAAAGGCCATTTTTATGCTACATTTTTTCCTTTTTATTCTTATCTTAAAGCAGCTGCTTAAGGTTCTACCACTATTATGAACTTTACCCTTCTTTGCAAGTATTTTTGATTGATCTGCAAGGTATCTGTAACTGATATAAATGTATTTCTCCTGTGACAACAATCAAAGGTTAACAAACGTTGATGATAAAGGGCTTCTTTATGGGGTTTCTGGTGGTTCCGGAGGTTATGCTGAGACAATTTTTCGCTACGCTGCTAAAAATCTATTTAATAGGGACATTGAAGGTCCGCTTCAATTTAGGATCATACGTAATTCAGATTTTCAAGAAGTGGTCCTTGAGGTAATTATGTCTAACCGTTTTATAATTTTGTTGGAATTGCAGATACATCTTCCTTAGTCTAGGCAACCTTAACATAATGAGAGCTATACATGCAGGTGGACGGTAAAATAGTTCTCAAGTTTGCACTTTGTTATGGATTCCGAAACTTACGGAATGTTGTGCAAAAAATAAGTAAAGGGAAATCTGAATATGATTTTCTAGAAATAATGGCATGTCCTTCAGGTATTTATCTCTCCCATTTCCTGCACAATGAAGATTCATTTTTCTCAATTAGCTGATTGAAATTTGTCACTTTGATTATTATGATTTAATAGGCTGTCTTAATGGCGGAGGCCAAATCAAACCTGTGGCAGGTCAGTCTGCAAACAATCTTATCCAACAGCTGGGAAATGTATACATGCAAGATGTAAGCATCCAACGCCTCTTAAGCTTCCTTTATTGTAGTGATTTTATGCAAATGCAATTGTTATAAATTAGTGCAAGTTATTGAATAGAATTGTCTGGTGAATGAAAAAAATGTGTTCAATCATCAATTTAAACTTTTAAGTCTTAAGTTGTTTCCTTATTTCAAATGATTGCAGTAATCTTTGGAAAGTTTACTTTGATCCATTGTGATGGAATGACAATTTGCGTCATGAAGCTTAGACGAGTTGTTGCTTTGAAGAATTTAGTACTAGACGAGTATAGTTGTAATGATGTTCAAATCTCTAAGAAATTATTTGAGCACTTCACAAACATCTGTTTTTTTATTGTTTCTGTCTGCATGTAAGCAAGGAAACGAAAGAGAATCAATAAATTCTGAAGGTAACTGACTTATCATCTTCATGATTAATTGGACAAAATTATGACAAATCGTAAGATAGTTCCTTAAATGTAAAAAAAGGCATGAGAAAAAAAAAGGAAGAAAAAGAAAAGGAAGAAGTAGAGATGATGTGGATTTACCTGAAGTACAGATGATGTGGATTCAACTGCAGGAACGAATGAATCATCTTTTGCATCCTTTATTTGAATCCATAATAATTATAGCCCAAGCATTATGAATCAATCTATTTAATAGCCTTCTCAGAAAAAAAAAAAAAATCTCTCACAGTTACTTTTGCATGATATTTTAATGAAGAACTTGTTTAGGAATAAAGAGGGGTGACACATGGAAACATTCTTTGTGCCGGTCAGATGAGGGAAGCAAATTACCACTTCATCACTGTAGCCACTGAGTGAGCAAAATTTCCTGCTAGCTAGCTATAAGATTAAACCATGCAATGGACTCCTCAGCCACTTGTAAAAAATGGGTGTGAATTGGCAAGTACTTCACCACTGTAGCCTCCTAAAGGAGATTTTTAGTTTTTACAAAGGAGATATGCGAATGGATTAGTCGGTTGGAAGTTTTTCTTAGGCTTTATTTTGGACGGCTTTTTTACTGCTTCTTAAAACAACTTTATAGTACAAAAATTAAAAATTTTATACTAAAATGCCGCTTTAAGAAGCAGTAAAAAAACTATTTCAAACGAAGCCTTAGAGACTACGCAAATTATTACTTGCTTGAATTGCTTTTATGCTACTGTGTTGATGCATTTGTTAAGGGGGTTTAAGAAATTATTCTCACACGTAGCACAAAATGTTGGTGTATTAAAAATGTTCCTTATAGAAATCAAGTGAGAAAGAGTTGGATGAGTGATGTGAATTCTAGGAGTTTTATAACATTATTCCATCTACTTTTAAAGCATTCCTTGTAATCTTTTATACTTTTTTTTTTCGCTCCTTATCATCTGTAAGTTCCTATTTTTATGGCTAGGTGAATAGTATTCACATAATTCTCATCTTGGCACAAGGTAACATAGTTAAATAATCTCAAATATTCTTTTAATTTTTCTGTTGTCATTTACCATGCCCTTTGATATCAGAAGGTTTTTTCTTAGCAAACTTAAATCTTCTTTGTTTTTGTATGCCACGTTCAGGTACTGATTGCCAGCCCTTTTGATAATGCCATTGTAAAGAACCTATATGCTGAGTGGCTCGGGCAACCAGGTTCAGAGAAATCTAGGATGTATATGCACACACAATACCATCAAATCGTGAAGAGCTTCACCTCAGAACTACACGACTGGTGATGAGATATCAATAAAATCATAACCCATGAGAAAGGTTCATATAATGTCTTAATGTATTAAAAAGTGATGTATTGTAATTAAAAATGATTTTCTATGTATATTTTTTTAAAAATTAATGCTGGATATATATATATATATATAACTTTTTATTTGTAGAATGTAGAAACATTAATAAAGAAAGTCATTGAATAAAGTAAATTTATTTTAAAAATTATTATGGCACAAAAATGTGATAATAAATTCAAATACGAGCTTGGTCATCTATACATATTTTTTGAGGTTTGATAAATATAAAATTCATTATTATTATATTGAGATCATGACATCCTACCAAAAATTCCAGCTTGAGAGAGAGAGAGAAAGGGAGTGGTTGTTTAAAGCTTTTAAAGTTGATTTAAATTTTCTTAATGATGTGTACGACTTAACAAAACATATTTTGATTAGTTGAAGATATCGACCTGTCATTGCCAAAATATATTTATCGAATTATTTTTTATATTTTAAAATTAAATGACAATTAAATTAATTTTTTTTTTGTTTTCATTGCAAGTAAAATTAATGTGTTGAGTAACATAATAGTTAGAACGAGATGAATTTATTTTGCTTCTATTTAATATTGATTAAAATTTTTTCATATAAAATAATGCTAACTCATGTGGTATTTGATTTTATTTATAAGAAAAATAAATATTGATATTAAATTATATTTTTGTGTGAAGATTGGAAGATTTTCATTTTAAAAAAATTATTAATTTTAAGAATATAAGCATCTTTCAATTTGAAAATATAGAAATAAAATGTATAAACATATTTGGATATAAATTTTATGAGCTTTAGAATTTAAAAATTATTCAATTTATTTAAAATAAATATTATAAATAAGAATTTATATTATATTAATCTTAAAATAGATAGGATGCTTTTTAACTTATTCTGATGTAAATAATTCAAAATTTTCGGAAAACATTTGTAGACATTTGCCGGTAGCTATTTCATACATTTTTCATGTCTATAAAATATGCGCTCGTCAGTGCTGTAGAGCTGGCGGTGGCGAACTCATCAGATCTGTAAATGGCGCTCTCCTCCGTTCTCCTTGTTTGCTCTCTCCTCTTCGTTTTCTGTCCGGCATTCGCAGTGGATAGCAAGAGTAACTCTCTCTCTCTCTCTCTCTCTCTCTCTCTGCTAGTTCATATTAGAAGTTAAGCCCTCTGTCTAGCTGTAGATCCTGGCTAGATCTGCGTGTGTCTGCCTAAATCTGTTCCATTTGAGCTGTTATCTTACATCTAGGTGCGGCATTTTGCTATCGAAAGGCCGTAGTGTCAGCTTTCAGGTCGGGGTTTATCTAGTTTGGTCGATTCTTGGAAGTGGTTGGGACTTGGATGAATTAATAGGACTTCTTGTTTCTGATTAATGTTCTGCTTAGGCCTGTAGCTATCCGTAACTTTCTCCCTATGACTAATTCATTAGAATGTCCAAAAAACAGAAGCTTCTTAAGCAGAGTAGTCATTTTAATTTGCTTGTTGTGTTGGTGAGAGGTTTCGGATGACTAGATGCTGATATGATGTATGTTGGATTGTAATTGTAATAGAGAAGAGAACTCATAGAAGATAAAAAATATAGATTGTGTGATGAGGAGGTTTTAATGGGGGATTATGATACTGAAGTGCCAATTGATTGGATAAGCCAGCTGAAGTACTAGTTTTTTGTGCTTCAGCGGACATGGATTTCAACCCTTTTTAGTGTCTTATTGGGAATTCATGAAAAACTGTTAAGTTCCTAGTTTTGAGAGAAATGCAGTGGGATCGTGTGTGGAAACTTTTTTGCTTATGATTTAGGTTGCTATCTGATGAAGGGAAGTTATTGGTTTGGATTTGCGATTCATTCTATGTGGAAGTTGTCTAAAGCTAATTTAGTTGGTTTGTTGTTATTTGATTATTATCAGAGTATTGAAGTGAGCTCATCCCACAACACTAGGTAATTAAGAATCACATGATATATTTGTTGCGTCCTGAAATATTTGTGGTGGTAGAGAAATATAAATTTTAGCATCCTAGCTTTATACGAAGATCCAACACACAAACAGATATGAAAACCCCTAAAGAAGAGAAAAAAGCACAGGGCATGGCCTAGTTTGCTGAATCTACTAGTGTTTGCAGTTGATTACGAATGAGGCCCTTCCTTGAGGAGAAATCCTTGGCTCGATGTAGCAAATATACATCATATAAAGTGCATTACATAGTGGGAGTTGGAAGAATCAATGTTGATGTGTTCTTTGGTCGGCAAGGCCATAGTCGGTGGATGATGTTGGTCGGAGGAACCTTGATTGGCGGGCAATGGAGGTCGGAAAGACCGTAGTTGGGGAATGACAGTCAGAGAGACCGTAGTCTGGAGATGGTGGTTGGAGAGACCATAGTCAGTGATCGACGGAGGTCGGAAAGATCATGTTCTGACGACGGTGGTCGGAAGGACCGTAGTCAAGCGACGGTGGTCAAAAGATATGTAGTCGGCAACTGACACTATTCGGAGTGGATTGTATTTGAAGAGCGACGGTGGTCATAGTGGACCATAGTCTGGCGACGGTCGATAGCCGGGCAGGAGTCCGGCGACAATCCTTGGTCGGGCGTAAGTTCGGCGAATGTTGCTGTCCATGTGAAAGTTTGATGACAATCGATGGTTGGGCGGTGGTCGAGGAAAAGCTTGGTGGCAAGTAAAGAGGGAGAAGATATCTTTTTCTTCATTCTCTTCTCCTCCCTTCCTTGCTTGGTCCCTCTTCAATGAAGAATGAGTGGTTTATTTATAATTTTAGGGATTGGCATGACCCATAAAGAGGGAGAAGATCAAAGGCACGTTGGGAGTTGTTCAAATGGACAAACGATATTGATTCCCTTGATCATGGACAGTTTATCGAGTATTTGAGTGCCTTAATGATGTTTGAATTCGGCGATCTTGGGCTCGTTGGATTCATTTAGTCCAACTGCTCAATTCGACTATAAGCATGCCACATTCAGAGATCATTTGGTCATCCGATTTATGGTTTGAACCTTCCAAATGCGTTTCAATTTTGGTAGCATGGTCCCTTTAAAATATGAGGCATTATCTAGGCTATCAAGCAACTAGGAAATTTTGCTAGTATGATGCTTAGCCCCAAGATAATTGAATATATGCAAGGCCTCAGCTTGGTTTTTGAGCCAAGTCTAGGCAGTCATTGAGAAATTTGATGGCATGATACATTAGCCCCTGACTAGTTTAATATATATGAGGCCTTAACTAGGTTTTAGAACTAATTGTAGACTGACTTTTGGGCCTTTTATGCAGATAGCGTTGAAGCTATGGAGTACTGCTAAAAATTTCGTTTGAATCTAGGTAGCTTGAGTAGCATCACCTTCCATGATCAATACATTAGCTTGCATGGGATCACAAACCGTTTTAGCATGCTAAGGATTGATTGTATGGTGAAGTATGATGTGATTCATTTTAGGGAGGATTGGTGAGTCTCAATAGATTAATGATTTTTTAGTCAACCGTTATATCCCATTTAGAAATTTTCATATATTTCTTAGGGTCTCATGTTGACACAGCATAAAAGTCTTCTTATGTTGAAAATTCATATATGCTGCTCTTGCTTTTTTGGTGCATTTGTTAATTGGTGTAGCATTGAACTTGAGTTTAATTGTAAACTCTTCATCTCAGTGGTAATCCATGAAAATCTTCTAGAAAATCTTCAGGAAATTTTCATACTATTGGAACTGCATCTAACTTACTCTGTCTTTGAGTTTGTTTTGGTGAATTCCTTAAAGCTTTATATATGCTTATTAAGTATTTTTGATATTTTGTTATTGAAATCAAATAAATGACCTTCCAATCTCCAAAGGGGAAAGATCTCTCCAAGAAAGTTTAAATCCACCAGCTTGACAACACAATTAATGGTAATATGCCATGTAGTACTCAAGAGTATATCAAAGTTTTCAAGGGTTAGGCCACAAAATTGACAAATGAACTAGGATAGCATATTAATATCACATAGCTAGGATATACCATATTTGTATAAGATTTGCTAGAGGCGTTTCAAATACAAAACCTTAGCTTTTATGTGTATCAATATCAAGGCTGCTTTCTGAACAAATGCAGGTAAAATGAAAGAATGTGATGACTTAGAATCAAATAATATCATAGGTATGCTTAAGATGTAAATGATACCCATTGTCATAATAAGTGAAGTCTAAACATTAGAAATGGATTTCTTCAACCATTGTTGATTTTTTAATGGAAGCAGCATCACATTATTATGGGCTTTATAATGTCTTACCATTTTCTAGCTAGGTCACAATATGTTATGGTTCATTGTGGTATGGTTGATCTGGTTAGCTTATTTTCTTCCTATTCTATAGAGAAATGAGTTAGGATAATCATTGTCGAAACCAAAGGTAAATAGATTGTCATAAGAGATGGGATTTAGGAAAGATGGGATCGTTGCAAGAAACGGGCTTGTTGTGAGTGATGAGAGACTAGATCGTCATGGGAGATGGAATCTTTATGGGAAACAATAAACATAGATGGAAACAAGCGAAATTTTAGAGAGATTTATACAACAAGCTATGGAAAGCTAAGCTTTAGATCATCCTTTTTGAAACTGGCGATCAATCAGAACAGACCATCCAAACTTTGACATGCTTGGGATTTGTCTTATTGATTTCAAATGGAATTGGGACAACCACTTAACTCTGGTCGAGTTCTCTTATAACAATGGTTATCACTTTATATACAGATGTCCTCTTATGAAGCTTTTTATGGGAAAAAGTGTAATTCACCTTTATGTTAGTTTCATTTTAGAGAGAAAAAAAATACTTAGGTCATAACTCAAGAAATAAATTAGTCAAAATATCAAAATGGTTGAACAAAATACTAATGCAAAACACAACGCCAGAAAGCTTATGCAGATGCTGGGAGGAAAGATGTAGAAAAATGCTGGAGATTATGTATCGCTTACCAAAAGGAGTTAATCATTTCTGCAAGATATATTGGACTATTTAAGGTTATTAGCTAGATCATATAGTCTTTTTTTGAACTCAACCGACCCCAAGAATAAGCCAACGTGCACAATGATTTTATTTAGTTTGATCGAAGAAGTATGCAACATACCTGAATTTATCTTTCAATGTGAACCCTTAAAATTCCAATTAGATATAACTGTGAAGAGATATTAGTGAAAATTTGAATAAAAGATCCTTAGAGAACGTAATGTTGGGAGAGATGATGGAGATTGAGGAGTAAACACCATAATGACGAAACAAGTAAGAAAGCAAAAACAACGGAAAAATAAAGGGCATCGGGATTTTGGATTTAATGTGGATAAATTCAAAATAGGGAAAAAACCACGGAGCTACACCACATCAAGAAATTCACTATAAAATTTGGGAGAAATAAGTACAGATCTCTCTTTTCTCTTACTCTCTCCTTGTTTCTCTTCTCACATGCACTGTTCTTAATGTCCATATTCCTCAGAAAATACAAGAGAAAGTATGTTATAACACCCAAGAAACACAACCTTTTAGAAAAATGAGAAAAATAACTGTTCAGTCCGTCTCACAGCTGATGGCGACATCAGAGCATGAAAAGTACATCTGAGGCGTGGCCGTCGATCTACGGTCACAATCGAGTCGCTGTGTTTTAAGTTATTTCATGTATTTTGTTTTATTATGTTATTTGTTATTTATGTTGTAATTATTTTTCCCGTTTTACCCCTTGCTTAAGGGAAGTTGTATGTAAGCCCTAAGGGCAAGGTAGTCTTTTATCTTTGAGTCTTTTTTGTGCGAGGCTTAGCCTTCATGTTCTTCTTCTAAAGTGAATGATTGAATGATAAAAAAATTTTGTGCTATCGCTTGAGTTCTTGAGATATCTTGAGAATGCTTGGAGAGAGGGAAAGATCCCTAGGAGAGGGAATTTTGATCACCTACTAACCTTGGAGACGGCCGGGTTCGTGGTTTTCTTCGTTATCTATTTTCCTTTCTCCTCGTCTCCTACCCAATCGTCCGCCTAAACCCTCCTCACTCCAAGCCGCCGGCCACCTTCATCCCCACCATCCTTCCACCGAAAACTCCCCAAGTCACCTCCACTTAGCCGCCAGCTCCCTTACCCGAATCCCAAGCA